TGCTTGGAATGGCTGGGTTAAGTTCTGACCATTTCCTGTTAAGGAAAATCTTCGCCATTTTGAGCCGTCTCGCGGGCAACTGGTCCTTCGCTGTACTGTTGCATATCGTTTGAGGACCAGTAGTCCTTGAAAAGCCCAAAATAGATCCATACTCAATAGCCCAATGATTTCCTTTTGAAAACGCATCTGATGGTGTACATTAACCCTACAGTGAATGTCACTAAGACAGACTAAGTATAGTTTTGAGAAAATCAAAACATCAATTAAAAAGTTCTCCCTACCACTCCCAGCTGAGCCTCCCATCCTGGCTGTTCACTTTTCAACTTCTTCTCCAAAGCCTCCAGTTGCGATTTATCGCGCCTCTTCTGTTCTTCCGCTTTCTTCTTTTCGGTAATCAAAAGAGAGTCCTGAAAGACATCACATGAAATCTTATTGTAATTCTGCGCGGTTTTTGTCTAAAAGTGTTTTTAAGAGCTTTCTTCAATGATGCATATTTATCGTGATCAGGTAGAGGAAATGCTTTCGCACTCATGAAACTTCATCCTAACCAAATAGGGAAGAAAAAGAACAGACCTTGGTTGCCAGCTTCCTTTCCAGCTCTAATTTCTCTACTTTCCACATACGCTCCCTTTCACGAGCTGTGGCAAGATCGCCTTCCATTCTCCTGAACAGTTCGGTTTATGAGAAGTGACAAGATATATAAGAAAAAATGGCAAATTTTACTTGTACTCCACTAGTCTGAGATCAATGTTTGCCTGCATGTTTTCCACCTCCCGTTTCATAGAAGACACAAGTTGGACTGCGTCATCTCGTCTAAATGCATATGGCTTTCCAATGTGCAATCACATAAAACACGAGAGCACCTCTGGATGTTTACTATGTCATGCGACTGCACCAAGCGAAATAAATCAAATCATACGGTAAACGAATTCATGTGAAATGAAAAGAAAACTTACTCTTCCCGCAAGAGTTTATTCTTCTCCACAAGTTCTTCACATTTCCTACCCAAAGTTTCATTCCGCTTCGTGAGAAAAGCCACTTGTTCAGTATTTGCTGACAACTGCATTTCAGTCTGCTTCAAGAGCTAAAAAAACTTTTTAATGGAAACGATTTAGACACAACGAAAAGCACACATAACTGTCATTGGCGAGGGCGAGAGAGGGTGTTAATGCTGTCTAAAGATTTGGAGGGATCGGATGACTTGTTCTTGGTATATAATAAAGTTTATGTTCAATTTTCTGTGATATTCAAAAACCTAAAATTCATTTCCGGGATTGGGTCACTCTATTTCATTCCAAAAGAATCTTCTCACCTCCTCAGCCTCACGAGAAGATTTTTCGAACCGCACCCCCCTCCCCTCCCCCCGCACCTCCGAAAGGGTGATCTTTCTATCCTTGCATCATTCCCATGCGGAGTCTGCCCTCTTGTCAGTTCCTTTCATACTTCACGGTTTACTGCTTAACTTTCATCGATTTCAAA